GAATTAACATCTGTAACGCGAGGGATACTTAACTTCGCATTCTAGTAATAAGCTCTGAGCAACAAAAAAGTGTACATGTCCAATTTTTCTAGTCATTTTTATGACTGCGGTATTTACACAGACTATATCGTCTAATAAACATAGTATTTAAATGGAGAAACCAACTTATATATAAAATTTGATAATCTTGACGCCAAGGAAGCAACGGTTACCCAACTAGTAAAAATTACCTACTATTTTATTGATCAACCTTCTAGTTTGCCTTACATTTTATTGAGTATCCCTCCAGTTATCCTTAAAGTTTATTGAGAAACCTTCTGGTTTGCCTCATATATTATCGAGTTAACTTCTAGTTAGCCTTATATTTTATTGAGTAACCTTCCATTTTGCTTCATATTTTATTGAGCAATCTACTAGTTTGCCACATATGTTATTGAATAACCTTCTCGTTTGCCTTATATTTTATTGAGTAACGTTCTAGTTTGCTTCATATTTCATTGAGTAACCTTTTAGTTTGACTTATATTTTATTGAGTACCCCACTCTATTGCCTCATATGTTATTGAGTAGCCGTCTTATTTGACTCATATTTTATCGAATCCTCTTCTAGTTAGCCTCATATTTTATTGAGTATCCCTCTCGTCTGCCTCGTGTATTATTAGTAGCCGTCTTATTTACCTCATATTTTATCGAGTCACCTTCTAGTTAGCCTTATATTTTATTGAGTAACCTTCCAGTTTGCTTCATATTTTATTGAGCAAACTATTAGTTTGGCTCATATATTATTGAATAATCTTCTAGTTTACCACATATTTCATTCAGTAAACTTCTGGTTTGACATATTTTATTGAGTATCACTCTCGTTTGCCTCATATCTTATTGAGTAGCCATTTTATTTGCTTTATATTTTATCGAGTCACCTTCCAGCCTTATATTTTATTGAGTAAACTTCCAGTTTGCCTTATATTCTATTGGGTACCTTCCGGTTTGCATTATTCAATAGATCTTTGCGTTTATAGCAACATATACACTCACGCTTACTGCAAGTTAATTTTTTCTCTCTCTCCTTAAAACAATTTTCTTTCTCCTTTACACTCACTTTCTATCTCTGTCTCTCTTCATCTGAGGTCCGTCTGTCTCGCCTTTCATTTTCGTATTTCTGTTAAAACTATTCGCTTTTCTATTATAACAAGACTAAATTTCTGAATTATCTTCTCATTGTTGTAGGCCTTTTCAATTTTTGCAAATAACAATCCCCTTAAGTCATTTTTTTTTTTTACAAACATTAATTTTTTTTTCTATTCATTTCTTTTAGGATTTCGTCTCTAGTATTGTAAGTGTCGCGTCTTTTCTGTTCTACTATTTTATTTCTGTTTCTTCAATCACTTTTTGTCAACATCTTCACCCACGTCCTCATTCTAATAAAATGCTAATCGATTTTTTTCCCCATTTAATGCGGTACACTATTTTCCTCTCCCTGTTTCAAATACAGCGCTTGGTTGTCATACCGCTTGACTAAATTCTACACGGTTTACCTTATATTTTTCTGTTATTTCCTGGCATTTTCCATCATTTAATGAACAGTTCCTAACAGTTTCTGTCAATTACTATTATCAAATAGATAGATAGATAGATAGATAGATAGATAGATAGATAGATAGATAGATAGATATGAACAGACTTAGATAGATAGATGGATAGAGATAGATAGATTAACAGATTGAGATAGAGATAGATACAGATAGATAGAGTAAATAGATAGATAGATAGATAGATAGATAGATAGATGGATAGATGAATATATTTGATATGAACAGACTGAGATAGATGATAGATAGATAGATTTTATTATCAAATATACGCGGGGATTCTTTTATGTCCACGATGAATATATTTGTATGATTTTATTGTCAAATACAATTCTGTCCTATCCTGTTGATCTGTTAACCTTTAACCACATATCAAGCCTTTTGTACTCATTCTGTCAGCCATTCAACTAGTTAGTTGTTTAGATAGATAGATAGATAGATAGATAGATAGATAGATAGATAGATAGATAGATAGATAGATAGATAGATAGATAGATGTGAAGATCTTGGGATGGTAATATTAGCCGGTATCTGAATAAGGGAAGCAGCTCTATAAAATCATTTTCTTAACATAATTTTTCAGTAAGATGCTTCTCCACTCAGATAGATAGATAGATAGATAGATAGATAGATAGATAGATAGATAGATAGATAGATGTGAAGACCTTGGGATGGTAATATTAGCCAGTATCTGAATAAGGGAAGCAGCTCTATAAAATCATTTTCTTAACATAATTTTTCAGTAAGATGCTTCTCCACTCAGATAGATAGATAGATAGATAGATAGATAGATATGAAGATAGATAGATGTGAAGACCTGGGGATGTTAATATTATCCGGTATATAAATAAGGAAAGATTCAGTATTCATTGACCAGGAACCTTGTGCGGCATTTTGTTGAAATCTATAAAAACATTTTCATAACATAATTTTTCACGAAGAGGCTTCACAAGTCCACTCAGATAGATAGATAGATAGATAGATAGATAGATAGATAGATATGAAGACCTTGGGATGGTAGTATTAGCCGGTATATAAATAAAGATTCAGTATTCATTGACCAAGCAGCTTGTGTTGCATTTTGTTGAACTATAAAATCATTTTCTTAAAATAATTTTTCAGTAAGAGGCTTCTCCATTCATAAATAGATAGATAGATATTCAGTTATGCAGTTCTATTAAAAATTCTGGGAATTTTGTCTCTGGGAAAAGAATGTTTACCTTTATATTTAGTCTACACTATCTCTTTCAGAATAATACTTTAAATATCGTGAAATCTTAAGTGTTATTTACTCTCTATAATGGCTTGCGTCAATAGCCTTTAACACATTCGGTTCAGTTGCAATGTTTATTTTTTTCCGTTTTGGTTTATTCGTTTTTTGGGGGTTTTTTGGGGGTTTTTTTTTGTTTGTTTTTTGTTGTTGTTGTAAGCTGACTTAGTCAGTTATTCAGGGTACTACGAATTGATTTTCGACTTATTGCCGTTATTTCTTCCTCGCCAGATGTTTTGCTGGAGTTTTATAGCTATAAGGTAGATGTTTTGTAATAGCAGTGAGGATCTTCGTCTGACAAAACAGTCTTATTGACTTTTTTCAGAAACGCCATTAAAAATGGCGTCTCTGGAAAAAAAAAATGCCCCCTGTAACATTATCCCTACTCCGCCATAAATATCATAGCTCTTTCCGTTATAATTTTTGAATAGATAATAGCCTGAGAAGTGTCTATACCGAAGGCAGAAACAATGTTTTCGATATACAGCTTTTCAATTGACGAATTGCCTTAATTCATATATTTCAGGGCTTTTGAGAGAATGATTCCATCTTTAATTGGTTAGTAGATATTTGTTTAAACACAAATATAATATAGACATACTTGACACATTGTCAGTCAGAGAATAGTCAAATTGTATATATTCTTGTGCTTATTCCTGAATTTCATTGATTGATTTGATTTGATTTGATTTTTACGGATTATCAACCGTTTGTAAGTTATTTAACGATGATTTACTGATAAAGTCTTACTAATTGACCCATAGCTGCGGGGAGAAGCGGTAGATTTATACCTTTCCTTGCGCGTAAGTGAATATAACGAACCCAACCGGAATTGGAACTCCGCTTTCCTTTCATTATCCAGTACACCACCCAGACACCCAAACTTATTCCCTTGTCAAGATACTGATTAGGGAACAGGAAGATGTGGAGGCCCATGATCGTCTATGCCCTGAGGCGAAACGGTACATAAAGAAATAAACAGAATCCTAAAATTGAATTTCTTTGGGAGCTTTGGAGTAATAAAAATGATATATGTTATTCTGCTTTCACAGCTGAATAAATGGTAGATGATACTCAGCTTTTGTGCATATATATGTTTGTGTGGACATAATTACTAGAGGCGGTGATAAGTGTGTTTTATGTTGTAGTTTGTTGAAGTTATATTTTGGAATACATTCTGATATCTTTAAGAAATTGTTCAATATTATATGGATTAATATCAAGAAAAGCTCTTTCATGTTGATTGTTTGGTAGTACAATAAATATGTATTGTTGTTAATTTTACTATAAATATGTACTTCTATTAATTTTAATATAAATATGTACATCTATTAATTTTAATATAAATATGTACTTCTATTAATTTTAATATAAATATGTGCTTTTATTAATTTTACTATAAATTTGTACCGCTATTAATTTTACTATAAATACACATTACGGGCAACTTCTCCATAAATATGTATAGCTGGTAATCTCTTTATACAAAAATATATTACTTGGCTTGATTTGGTTTGGTTTACGGCATATCAATCTCAATGAGTTATTTAATGCCGACAAATTTTTTATTGCTGGTATTTTTTTTTTTTCAAAAATGTATTTTTAGTAATATCTTGTTTTCAAAAATGTATAGGGGTAACATTTTTTTTTGTTAAATGTATAGCTATATATATATATATATATATATATATATATATATATATATATATATATATATATAAAATAATGAGAACTAAATGAATATAAATTCAAACGTTCATAACATTAAAGAACCATCTTTTGTTCCTCACCTGATGAGATGCTTACGCTTGAGCATCGAAGCAAATATGAATCTTTGTAGTGATTACATGTGTGCCTGTATGTAACTAATAATATATATATATATATATATATATATATATATATATATATATATATGTGTGTGTGTGTGTGTGTGTGTTTGTGTGTGTGTGTGTCTGTGTCTGTATCTGTGTGAGTGAGTGAGTGAGTGAGTGAGTGAGTGAGTGAGTGAGTGAGTGAGTGTATGTGTGTGTTTCTGAGTGTGCGCTCGAATGTGTGTGTGCATCTGTGTTTGTGGGGGTGGTGTTCGACAAGGTAATTAAACTTGTTCACCCAGATAATGAGACACGGGATATCCATTGAATGACCCAGCGCTTCACCTCTTCTGCATCCTTTCTTTGTGGTTTGATTAACTTCTTTCTTTACGATGGCTTATTTCACAAGACTTTTTAATACAGTCAGTATTTCTCCTGTGTTCCTACTTCCTCGGTCACTGTCCCATCGAACGATCTCAATCACAAAATTGAAAGGAAAAAATGACCATAGAATCACGTCTGTAAAGACAGTATTGGGCCACCGGTTATTATTGATACTGAAAGGTTCAATAATTGAACTTTATTCTTTTCCCCTACTATTCTTCTTCCTGATTCTCACTAGTTTGTTTTTTTTCTTTCCTTTCCTTTTCGCTTTTTCTTCTTCTACTCTTTCGTATTTTCCGTCTCTCTTTTACGCGTCTTCTGTATTTTTCTTCTATTCTCAGGTGTTTTCTTCTTCTTTTTACTCCTACTGTTTCTTATCTTTCGTCTCTTTTTCCATCATCTCTTTCGGATTTTCATTTTCTTTTTAATTCTTCAATTCTCTTTCAATTTCTTTGTTTTTTTCTTCTACTCTTTGGTATTTTCCTTCTCTTTTTCTTTCTTACATTTTTCCGCATTTTCATTCAGTATTTCCTTCTATTATTTCGAATTGTCCTTCTCTATTTTCTTCAACTTTTTTTTTTCAATTTTCTTTTTTTCTAAATTCTCCTTTCGTATTTTTCTTCACTTTGTTCTTCTTTCAGGCTTTCGGAATTTCTTTCACTTTCCTTCAAATCTTTTCGCATTTCTTTCACCTTTTCCTTCTTCTTTGTCATATTTTTCTTCTACTATTTTATATTTGCCTTCATTATCTTTCTGCGCTTTTGTATTTTCTTTCTCTTTTTCCTTCTTCCATTCTTTCGTATTTTCCTTCTCTTTTCCCTTTTTCCATTCTTTCGTAACTTCTTTCTCTTTTTCCTTCTTTTATTCTTTCGTATTTTCTGTCAATTTTTCCTTCTTCCATTCTTTCGTATTTTCCTTCTCTTTTCCGTTTTCCCATTCTTTCGCATTTTCCTTCTTTTTTTTCCTTCTTTCATTCGTTCGTATTTTCCTTCTTTTTTTCCTTCTTCCATTCTTTCGTATTTTCCTTCTCTTTTCCTTTTTTCCATTCTTCATTATCTTTCTGCGCTTTTGTATTTTCCTTCTCTTTTTCCTTTTGCTTCTTTTTCTTCATGTACACATTTCTATTTTCCTTCAATTTCATTTTTACTCTTTTGTACTTTCCTTCTTTTTTCTTTATCATTCTACTTTTTCTCTTTCTTTTTCTCTAATTCATTTACTTCCCCCCACACACATCACACCGTTTCCTTGCGTATTTACTTTTCCCTCTCTTTCTTTCTCTCTTTCTTTACTTCCACAAACGGCTTGCTAGACTGCTTCACGAATTTTTTTTCCCGAAGCATCCACCATGTGTGTATAAGTTTGCGTGTAAGTACATTATATGTGTGTGCAACCTGGTGGTGGCGAATTTTCTACGTGACGTCTTTTTATATACTTATTTAATTTATAATTACAAATTCATTTTTCTCTATGAAAGGAACCGATAACTAACATCTCGCTTTATTATTTCTTCATTTCTCTTACATTTCCATCACTTTAAAATTATTCTTGTCGCATCCTCCTTCTTCTTCTTCTTCTTCTTCTTCTTCTTCTTCTTCTTCTTCTCTTCTTCTTCTTCTTTGTTATCCAATTCATTTACCAATTCATGTAACTTTCGTCTGCTTCCTTCAATTTTCTGTCTGCGACGACTAAGACTCGTTGGGTAGTAAATTATTTTTACGATTACTTTCATCCAATTTACAATTATTTTCATAATATATATATATATATATATATATATATATATATATATATATATATATATATATATATATAAATATATATATATATATATATAAGAATAAATATATATATATATATAAGAATAAATATATATATATATATATATATATATATATATATATATATATATATATGAATAAATATATATATATAAAATATAATATATAAGAATAAAGTGTCGCTGTCGACACTTGAGTTTGAAAACATAGATCGCCAGTGAACAAATACAGGCGATCCCATTATTAAATTAAGTAGACCATGTGACCATACGCTTATTTTATGTCGTCTATGATGCAACCCCCTTAAAATTAGCTTCAAAATTAAGTCTTCAAAAGGTGCATCATACGTGAATATATACGGTACATTATATACAAGCCTATGCCCTTAATCTCTTTACTACGGCTGAATATTATTGGATTAAGTAGATCAAGTGACCATACAGGAAACGCTGTATAGTATGGGATTTATCACGTCTACATAGGGTTTTGAATTTAGAATTGACTTTCTCATAGACTGGTTGCCAAATTCGTCTGCGCTATGATTTAACGAACAGCGGAGTGGAGGTAGGCAAGAAATGGAGTCATATCGTTCCCAATATAAAGCTAGTGTGAAAGTAATGAACTCAGCAGGAATTCGAACTCGGCTCATCGAGTTCCCTTCTCGGGCCACAAATCACAGCACCGTCCGCATGTGAAAATAATTGGAGATATTTACTAAGTTTCGTCTGAACCATGGCCACACTAAAGGGGCAACTAATGCGAAACTTACTTTATAAACTAGCAAAAGTAGTTCACAGTAATAGTGAGATGTGATCTTCTGCCAACTCTGTTCTTCTGAGGTTTATACTGCAACTATGCTAAGCAGACCGTAGTAACAGTTTCTGGGAATGAGCGTCGTATCTAGCGTGATCAATAATTTCAACAAGGCCAGCGCACTCAATGACATATGACTTTGTGCTAGCTATCGACGAGACCCACGGGTTCCATCTACCCAATTTCATTCACAAGTCTTTGGTCAATATATATATATGTGTGTGTGTGTGTGTGTGTGTGTGTGTGTGTGTGTGTGTGTGTGTGTGTATTTGCGTTGATGAGAGTTTGTGACCCTGGATTTCACGGCCTTTGCGTCAGACCTGATGATCACAAAGGGCGTGAAAGCCCAGGGTCATAAACTCACATCAACGCAAATAAATATATTACTCTATCACTGATATTGAGGGCTTTCCAATAAGCGCCGCATATATAATAATATATAATATGTAAATAATATATATATATATATATATATATATATATATATATATATATATATATATATATATATATTATAAATTAATTGATTTAAAATATGGTTATATATATATATATATTTCATTTATACACGTTTCATTAAATAATATAGACAAGTGTTGTCTATTTATTTTATGTAAAATTTGTTCGTAACATCTGATAAGTTTGATAACATTATCATTAAACGAAGAAAGAAATTCACAATATTGATCCATATTTTTTTAATATAATCTAAGCTTTCGGCTTACTTAAGCCATTATCAAAGATGTAAATCACAAACATATTAAACAATATACGGACTTTTTAATATAAAAAATATAATAAAACGTCAAATCCATGAAGAGAGCTCAATGTATAAATTTATATAGAGCAATATAAATAATAGTAAAGAAGAAACAATCGTATAAATCGGTTATAAATTTATTTCGGTAGATATAAATATGTATAACTACCTCCTTAGAGCGGCTACGTTTTCTCTATAGTGTATTTTAAAATAAAATTTAGCGAATAAAATGTAGTCAGTCTAATGAGGCAGGTATAGATATGTATATCTGCTGAAATATTTTTATAATCGATTTATATGATGCATAAATTTTTTTCCTTACTATTATCTAATGCATATATATATATATATATATATATATATATATATATATATATATATATATATACCTAAAAATAATTTTCTGAATACTTATGTTTGAGTAGATCTGTTTTTAATCAAGACGAATTATGTATACCGATCTCCGCCATCTTAATAAAGTAAGTGTCTTTATAAAGTCCACTCGAGGATGAAACGGCTAGGTAACGAGGCGTTTTTGTTTTGTCTTTATTTTTGTATATTTAATAATAAAAATATAGTTTAAGTATGCTATATTTATGGGTAAAAGTGTTCAATAAAGCTAACAAAACCCCACTTACTTCTCTCTTTCTCCCTCTCTGTCTCTCTCTCTCTCTCTCTCTCCCATATATATATATATATATATATATATATATATATATATATATATGTTTGTGATGTCAACGAACACTCGTTGCCACTTTTGTGATGCAAATGAATACGCGTTGTCACTTTCGTAATGCTCGTTGTAGTAGAGACTTTGTAATCGCAGATACAACTATAGTACGCCAATTGAACAATACTGGTGTCAGACGCCTTCGAATAATCTTGCACTAATCGTACTTGCTCGATAATACTCGCTCGAGAAGTAACCCGTATAGTGGTCTTATTATTATTATTATTATTATTATTATTATTATTATTATTATTTTACTTTGTTTTCTGTTGTATGTACATTTCCTTCCGGTGCCCAACCAATGACCTAAGGTCAGAAATGGCTTCATGACAATTTCCACTGATCATTTTTGCAAAAAAATTATAATACCCCCCCCCCAAAAAAAAGTTAAGATCACATACATTTCACATAGATATGTAATGTGTGATCTGTACCCGTGAGTACACATTTTTGTATTTCATTAAAGCGTAGGTTACCAGGAATCATTTTAATGAATCTATCGAAACGTTTTCCAATCAATCCGAAGACTCCATCTACAACTGGAATTACTGATGTCGTCATAGGCCACATTTTTTTTTTAGATTTGCACTTAAAGATCCTTGAACTTTATAGTTTTTTTTTTAGATCTTCAACGATCAATGATCAATTAAACACACGCTACCTACCATATATGCGTTTCCTCTATGCTCACTTGGTCTACGTAATCCAATAATATTCAGCCGTAGTAAAGAGATTAAGGCAGACACTTGTATATAATGTGCCGTATATATTCACGTCTTATGGGCCTTTTGAAGACTTAATTTTGAAGCTAATTCTAAGGAGGTCTCATCATAGATGACATATAAAATAAGCGTTCTGTTGGCTCTGGCCTCGGTGTTGACCAAACTATATATCCTTTACTGTAGTCAAATTAGCTTCAAAATCAGGTCTTCAAAATTCGCATAATACACGCGTAAATACGTAAAATTTAACTACAGGGGGGCCTACTTAAATTTATTTGTCCGCTCGTAACGAAATAGGAATTTTTTTTTTTTTTAAATTTGTTGAATTGCATTACTTAAAACTTCCTCACTTCACGGTATTATTCAGAATCGAAAAATGTTGATTTCCCTCATTTTAGAAGGGGTCCCGGGTCATAATATAAATACAGTGTCAAAACCCACAATGACTTCTTAAAGAATTGTCAGAACGTGGGACGTTCAGGCCATTATTATCCGGGTTTTCATCGAGGTATTGGGGTCTATACCAGCGAACTTTAAAACTTACATTAAGAAAATTGGAATAAAGCCTAGTATCCTGCGTAGCTTAGCACTCTAAATATTCAGCGAAAGGTTTTATCTGTCTGAGGTCCTAAGACACTTGATAGACAACAGCCATAATGGATGAGCCCAGGCTGAAGACGGATAACCGTGCGAAAGATGAGATAATAATAATAATATTAATAATAATAATAATAATAATATTGATCAAAGACTAAAACAGAATGTGCTTTCTTTTGAAATGGCCGTCCCTGCAGATTGTAATATATCTTTGAAGATCTCAACAAAAAACTATAAAGTTCAAGGATCTTTAAGTGCAAATCTAAAAAAAAATGTGGCCTATGACGACATCAGTAATTCCAGTTGTAGATGGAGTCTTCGGATTGATTGGAAAACGTTTCGATAGATTCATTAAAATGATTCCTGGTAACCTACGCTTTAATGAAATACAAAATGTGTACTCACGAGTACAGATCGCACATTACATATCTATGTGAAATGTATGTGATCTTAACTTTTTTTTGGGGGGTATTATAATTTTTTTGCAAAAATGATCAGTGGAAATTGTCATGAAGCCATTTCTGACCTTAGGTCATTGGTTGGGCACCGGAAGGAAATGTACATACAAAAGAAAACAAAGTAAATAATAATAATAATAATAATAATAATAAGAGCAATAATAATAATAATCACAAGAATTCCTGTCTTTTTATGTTGTCTGATTTTTTTTTTTCGTTTTTGCTTTTTGTTTTCTTTTAAATCATTTCACCATATGCAAGGCGATAATGCCACTAAGATTACTGAGAGTAAAAATAGAATGAAAAGACTTTAGTGAAGAGAAAGGAAAAGAAAAGAACATATTTCCAGAGGTCAGAAGATTGCGATTGACGTTCCATTTCGACTTTTGAAGATTGTAGATGGCAGGGAAGCAATAAATCGCAAGAGAGCTCCACAGTCTAGAAGTGC